GCAGGGCACAGATGAATGGTCCTGGTTCCTTTCGACGTGGGCACACGCTCGTCAAAGCCTCCCCAGGTCCTGGCCTTGCCGGAGATTATCTTTGTCTTTGAGCTGCCGGGGGAAGAAAACAGAGCAAGAAAGGAACTCACTCGGCCCTGGCACAGCAGGAGGCCATTCAGTCCACTGGTGACCTGTGCCAGCCCCATTAGACATGCATTTGCGATCTCAAGCCATGTATGAGGCTGTGGGTCCAATGCTGGATTAGAATAGCTTGGTGGTTGTTTTTGACTGGCACGGCCTTGATGGACCAAAGGGCCTTCTGTCCTGTGCTGTAGGGACTAAATTTAAATGGCTAACAGACTCCAGCATCACCCCTTCCCTGTGGTACCCCCTCTCTCTGCTCACGTTATACCATTTGCTCAGATTTGTCATGGGCCCTAATGCTCTGGGTCTGTCACTCTCTGGTCATGTGCATTGAAGAGTGAATTTTTTATTGTGTGCACAAACATCTGTGTGTGTGTCTGTGTGTGCCTATGTGTGTGTGTGTCTGTGTGCGCCTATGTGTGTGTGTGTCTGTGTGTGCCTATGTGTGTGTGTGTCTGTGTGCGCCTATGTGTGTGTGTGTCTGTGTGCACCTATGTGTGTGTGTGTCTGTGCGCCTATGTGTGTGTGTCTGTGTGCGCCTATGTGTGTGTGTGTCTGTGTGCGCCTATGTGTGTGTGTGTCTGTGCGCCTATGTGTGTGTGTGTCTGTGTGCACCTATGTGTGTGTGTGTCTGTGCGCCTATGTGTGTGTGTCTGTGTGCGCCTATGTGTGTGTGTGTCTGTGTACGCCTGTGTGTGTGTGCAGATGTGTCCATGTGTGTGTGTCCATGGCGTGTCTGTGTGTGTCCACGTATGTGCATGTGTCGTGTCTGTGTATCACCTATGTGCATGTGTGCCTCTGTGTGTGTCCATGTATGTGCATGTGTCATGTCTGTGTATCACCTATGTGCATGTGTGCATCTGTGTGTGTCCATGTATGTGCACGTGTGTGTGTCATTGGTGTGTGACTGTGCATGCTCACGTTTGTGCATGTCTGTGTTGATAGTGTGTCTATGTATGCGTCATGTATGTGCACGTGTTGATGGTGTGTGTCTGCATATGCTTCGTATGTGCACGTGTGGCGATGGTGTGTGTCTGCATATGCTTCATGTATGTGCACGTGTGTCGATGGTGTGTGTCTGTGCATGCCCACGTGTGAACGTTTGTGTGTCTGTGAATGCTCATGTATGTACACGTGCATCTGTCTCTGTGTGCCTGTGTATGTGTTGGTGGTGTGTCTGTGAGTATGTATGTGTGTATCTGTGTGTGTGTGTGTGTGCTTGGCCATGTGTGTGTGACCGTGTGTGTGTTTGGGGTATCACGGAAGGTGAGGGCAGGATCCTTATGCCTTGGTTCCCTACCTGTTGCCTCCTTTGTAACCATTACCTGCCCCTTGAGGGCAGCGAGGGAGAGGGGCTTGGCAAGGTGGGTAAAGGTTGGGTAGTGATTGGAGTTGGGGTGGGGAGGGGAGAACCAGTTGACCTGACCTTCTCCAGGGTAAGGGGCTGGTGGAGGGACGATAATGTAACACGCACCTGCCCTGGTGATTAACCAGTTGCCCCTCTTTGCTTGGATCTGCAGGGGGTTTCAAGAGCTGACCCACAAAACTGCGCTATCATGTAACGCCCATCACATGGACGGGAACCTGCCCAGTGGGGATTGGAGACAACACGTACATTCGGCTAATTTTGTATGGCGGGACTTTTCTCTTGTCGATTTTATTTTTGTTTGAAGAAAGTAAAATTTGTCCCTCACGCGACTCGAGATTTTCAACATTGACATAAAAGCCCTGATTTCTGAGGCGATTTTAATTGGGAATAGATCACTGTTGCACCAAACTCTTTATATTTCTTATACGGAGAAAGGGATAGAGAGAGAAATATATATTTGTTAATAATCTCCTGCTTATTGACCCTTGAGCATTGATAAATTCAATTTCCTTGCCCCAGGGTGATTCTGGAAATCGAGATATTTGATTTTTGACCGTTTCTGAAGTGGGTTGACCCAATCTGGCTTTTCCTAAATCTCTTGAGTATTTTGTTGGGGTGGAATTTGTACCATGTCCCCCACCCCGGCCTCTCACGTTGATTTTCCGAGGGGTAATTGGTTCCGCTCTCACCACATTTTGGTGTCTCCTCGACTCCCCC